GGGCTTCCCCTAGGTCGACTCGGCCTCAAATGAGTACCTAAGTGCGGTGAGTAAACATCGTCGCTAGGGAGACAAAGGCGGCCGGGCGTGGTGCTGGCCACCCACCCCCTCGTGTACTGCGTAGGCCTTCATAGGTGCTCGCTAACAGCACTTGCCCCAACAGTCTGTCAAGGCTACACGGGGGATATTTATCTTTATTTAATGTCTGTCAATGTGGAGTGGTGGTGCAGTGGTTAGCACGCCGCGCTATGAACCTGGCGACCCGCGTTCGATTCCCGCTCACGGCCAACACCAGTGACGATTATCTGAACCGGTCCCGGGCCTCCCCTAGGTCGACTCGGCCTCAAATGAGTACCTGGTGCGGTATGTAAACATCGCCACTGGGGAGACAAAGGCAGCCGGGCGTGGTGCTGGCCCACCCACCCCCTCGTGTGCCGTTCCGGCCTTCACAGGTGCTCGCTAACAGCACTTGCCCCTACAGTCTGTTAAGGCTACACGGGGGATCTTTATCTTTGCGTGTGTGCGTGATAGCGTGCGCCTAATTAAATGCGTCTGATGTGCAAAAAGGAGTGGCGCCGACGCTAAGGGTATTTGACAGCGCGGGAAAGCTACGTGTGGTTTGTGCGCGTGCAGGCGAGTGGACGTGTGAATGCGTTATCAAGAGCGGAGGCGCTGCAGTCGGCGCCGAGAACCCGGCGAACCCGGCGATGATTTTTTGGCCGATCGGCACGGGCCAATAATTTGGACATACGCCCACTGATTAGAATCGATTAGAATCGATTAGAATCGGTGGGTGGGTGAACCGATCTAACCCCCCCCCCCCCCCCTAAGTTGCGGTGTGCAAGCGTCATCATCATCACCATCACTATCAGCATCACTACCATCACCATCAATACCATCACAATCACCATCACTATCAGCATCACTAGCATCACAATCACCATCACTAGCATCCTCAACACTACCATCACAATCACCATCGCTGCCATCGTCAACAGTTACCATCACTATCAGCACCACTACCATCACCATCACTACCATCCTCAACACTACCATCACCATCACAATCACCATCACTATCATGCTCAGCATCACCATCACTATCAGCATCATCTGTAAGGCTAATGTCGCGATCACGACCATCCTTAACACAACCATCACTACCATCCTCAACCCAACCATCAATCACCATCACTACCGTCCTCAACACTACAATCACAATCACCATCACGACCATCACAATCACTACCATCACAATCACTATGAGATGACTACTGGCAGATGCACCACCTGTGCCCCCCTACTGTGCCAGGCTAGGTGCAGGAGGTCACAGGACAGACCCAGTAGGTGCCACGGGTTGACCGACTGAGATTACTACTGGCATACGCACCACCTGTGCCCCCTACTGTGCCAGGCTAGGTGCAGGAGGAAACGGGACAAACCCAGCAGGTGCCACGGGTTGACCGACTGTGATGACTACTGGCAGATGCACCACCTGTGCCTGCTACTGTGCCAACAATAACATTCCTACCACCACCACAACCGACGCCACCACCACCACCACAACCTCCCCCGCCACTACCTCCCATGCACTGCACAGCACTGCACACACCATTAGCTTCATGCTACCGTGTAATGTCCTTAATTTCTTTTAAACAAGTTCAAATCAAATCTCATCGTCTGCAACACAAAACACAAAGATCCCCCGTGTAGCCTTAATAAGACTGTAGGGGCAAGTGCTGTTTGCGAGTAGCGGCACCTATGAAGGCCGGCACGGCACACGAGGGGGTGGGTGGGTGGCCAGCACCACGCCCGACCGCCTTTGTCTCCCCAGTTGCGATGTTTGCACACTGCACCAGGTACTCATTTGAGGCTGAGTCGACCTAGGGAAGGCTCAGGACCGGTTCGGATCATCGTGGCCGTGAGCGGGAATCGAACTCGGGTCTCTGGCGGGTTCGTAGCGCTAACCGCTGCACTCCCACTCCCCACACATTTATAAATACACAAATACAAACAAAGACCCCCCGTGTAGCCTTAACAGACTGTAGGGGCAAGTGCTGTTAGCGAGCACCTATGAAGGCCGGCACGGCACACGAGGGGGTGGGTGGCCAGCACCACGCCCGGCCGCCTTTGTCTCCCCAGTGGCGATGTTTACACACCGCACCAGGTACTCATTTGAGGCTGAGTCGACCTAGGGGAGGCCCGGGACCGGTTCAGATAATCGTCACCGGTGTTGGCCACGGGAATCGAACCCGTGTCGCCGGGTTCATAGCGCAGCGCGCTAACCGCTCCACCACCGCTCCCCACAACACATACACGTGCACACACAGACACACACGCACCAGCGTGGAACTATTCACAAAACCGCTACACAGGAGAGCGGCTCCTAATTTATTTACAAATTGGTGCTTGCAGAGGATGGGGGGAGGGGGGGTGTGTGGAGGTGGAGGGGTCGTGCAGGAGGAGGAGGGAGGGAGGGGAAGAGGGGGATGGGGAGGAGATGCGGGGGGGGGGGGCATGCCGCATGATGGTGCAGCGGTCAGCGTGGCGCTACCGGCAAAGACCCGAGTTCCATCCCCGCCCGCGGCCACCCGCCAGCGACGATTATCTGAACCGGAACCGGGCCACCCCTAGGTCGACTCGGCCTCAAAAAACGAGCCGCCACCGCCGGGGGGAGAGAGACAAAGACGGGCGGGCGGGGCGCTGACCACCCACCCCTACCCCCACGTGACACGCTGCTACTCCGGCTAACGGCACTTGTCCCCCAGTCTGTGAGGCTACACGAGGGGGGGGAAAGCTTTGTCTTTGGTGGCGGCTGCGCACGCGTCACGACCCGTTATCTCCTTCCAGTGCGGGGCGCAAATAACAACAACGGGCGGCGGCTTAATAGCGCAGCGCTGCCGCTCATTAGACGCCGCGCCAAGGGAGAGAGAGCGCAGGAGGGGGAGAGAGCGGTGGAAAGAGCGGTGGAGAGAGCGGCGGAGAGGGAGAGAGCACAGAGAGAGAGAGCAGAGGAGAGACAGCAGAGGAGAGAGAGAGAGCAGAGGAGAGCAGGGGGAGAGAGCGGTGGAGAGAGATGGGGGAGAGAGAGCGGAGGAGAGCGCGGTGGAGAGAGCGGCAGGGAGAGCGAGATGTGGGAGAGAGATGGGGGAGAGGGAGCAGAGAGATGGGGGAGAGAGATGGGGGAGAGAGATGGGGGAGAGAGATGGGGGAGAGAGAGCGGAGAGAGAGATGGGGGAGAGAGATGGGGGAGAGAGATGGGGGAGAGAGATGGGGGAGAGGGAGCGGAGAGAGAGATGGGGGAGAGAGATGGGGGAGAGAGATGGGGGAGAGAGATGGGGGAGAGGGAGCGGAGAGAGAGATGGGGGAGAGAGATGGGGGAGAGAGATGGGGGAGAGAGATGGGGGAGAGGGAGCGGAGAGAGAGGTGGGGGAGAGAGATGGGGGAGAGAGATGGGGGAGAGGGAGCGGAGAGAGAGATGGGGAGAGAGATGGGGAGAGAGATGGGGGAGAGGAGCGAGATGGGGGAGAGAGATGGGGAGAGAGAGGGAGCGGATGAGAGAGATGGGGGAGAGAGATGGGGAGAGAGGGGGAGAGGGCGGGAGAGTAGAGATGGGGCGAGAGAGATGGGGAGAGAGAGCGGAGAGAGAGATGGGGAGAGAGATGGGGAGAGAGCTGGGGGAGAAGAGATGGGGAGAGAGCTGGGGGAGAGAGATGGGGGAGAGAGATGGGGGAGAGAGATGGGGGGAGGAGAGATGGGGGAGAGAGATGGGGGAGAGAGATGGGGGAGAGAGAGCGGAGAGAGAGATGGGGGAGAGAGATGGGGGAGAGAGGATGGGGGAGCGAGATGGGGAGAGGACGATGGGGGAGAGAGATGGGGGAGAGAGATGGGGGAGAGAGATGGGGGAGGAGGGAGCGGAGAGCGAGATGGGGAGAGCGATGGGGGAGAGAGAGGAGAGAGATGGGGAGAGAGATGGGGGGAGAGAAGATGGGGGAGAGAGAGGGGGAGAGAGATGGGGGAGAGAGGGAGCGGAGAGAGAGATGGGGGAGAGAGGGGGGAGAGAGATGAGGGAGAGGAGCGGAGAGAGAGATGGGGAGAGAGATGGGGGAGAGGGAGGGAAGAGAGATGGGGGAGAGAGCGGCAGAAGGAGATGGGAAAGAAAGCGGCAGAGAGCGCGTAGAGAGAGATGGGGGAAAGAGAGAGCGTAGAGAGAGCGAGATGGGGGAGAGAGAACGGCGGAGAGAGATGGGGGAGAGAGATGGGGGAGTGGGAGGGGGACGGTAGGGGAACGAGGGCTCTCGCGACGCGGCGGAGGGAGATATTCGGAGCAATTTGGAGCGACGCCTTTGTGTGGTCGCTAGTCCGTTGTTGTGCAGCGCGCGTCGGAAACGGCGTTTGTGAAGATTTAATTTTACTGGGTTTGGTTCGGGAGGTCGCGAGACACCGAGCCGCTAAGGCTGAGAGCCTGGGTTCAAGCCCTGGGTCTGGGTGTGTCTGTGTGTCTCTCTCTGTGGGTTCATAATGGCTGTGTCAGATACACCGAGCGAGAGCCTGGGTTCAAGCCCTGGGTCTGGGTGTGTCTGTGTGTGTCTCTCTCTGTGGGTTCATAATGGCTGTGTCAGATACACCGAGCGAGAGCCTGGGTTCGAGCCCTGGGTCTGGGTGTGTCTCTCTCTCTCTGCGGGTTCATAATGGCTGTGTCACATGCACCTCGTGAGAGCCTGGGTTTGAGCCTCCCTCAGGGAGGTTCATAATGGCCACGTCAGAGATATTAAAGCCAGCGCACTGCTGTAGAATCCACCAACCCACTCGCCCACCCACCCACTCACTAACCAACCAACCCACCCACCAACCAAACCCACTCACTTCGCCCACCGACGTCAACGCGACCTAACTAAGCGACTCGCACAGCAGCCTGCTCATGCACGCACGGGTGACCCAGCAGAGCGTGGGTGGGTGCGTTCATACGTGTGCGCGTACGTGTGTGTGCGCGTACGTACGTGCACCGGCGGGCGGGCACCGGTGACCCCAGCGGCGTAAGCGCAAGCTGGATTTATCGGCAAAGGGGGTGGCGCCAGAGGTCGCAACCGGGTACCCGATACCCGTACCCTACCCGATAGCCGGCTACCCGTACCCAGCCGGGTACGGGTAGCCGGGTATCGGGTGAGTAACTGTTTGTCACTCATTTCCCAACGTCTTGTCTCTTCTCACAATTCAAGTTCCTAGAATCAACCCACCCGCGCCTGCAAGCATGGCTTCATCCCAGAGGTCGCAATCAGGTACCCGTATCCGGCCGGGTACGGGTAGGGTACGGGTACGGCCGGGTACGTCCACCCGTTTGCGACCCTGGTGCGGCCGGGTACGGGTACGGGTAGGCCGTGAGTCACTGGTGAGTAACTGTTTGTCACTCATTTCGGGTAGGGTACGGGTAGGGGTAGGGAACGGGTACCCGTTTACGACCCTGGTGCGGCCGGGTACGGGTACGGGTAGGCCGTGAGTCACTGGTGAGTAACTGTTTGTCACTCATTTCGGGTAGGGTACGGGTAGGGGTAGGGAACGGCTACCCGTACCCGGCCGGGTACGGGTACGGGTACCCGTTTGCGACCCTGGTGCGGCCGGGTACGGGTACGAGGGGTAAGGAATCAAAACCCGTTTGCGACCTCTGGGTGGCGAGCGACGCGGCCGGCGTTGGGAGGGCCCAAAGAGGTGTCAGCGGTTTTGTTGGCGACGCGTCCATGACTTTGGGAGTCTCCGCGGCAGCTGCGGAGGGCGCTTTGGGCGAGCTGAGCGCGCGGTTTATGACGCGTGAAACATCGCAGGCCCACCGCTCAAATCAACCGCCGCCGCCACCGTCGCTACCACCGCCACTAACACCACCACCACTAATAACCCTTGCCAAAACCATCACCACCACCATCGCCGCCACTCACACCACCACCATTACCACCGCCGCTATCACTACCACCGCCACTAACACCACCACCACTAATAACCCTTGCCACGACCATCACGACCACCATCACCGCCACTAACACCACCACCATTACTACCGCCGCTATCACTACCACTGCCACTAACACCACCATCACTAATAACCCTTGCCACAACCATCACGACCACCATCACTGCCACTCACACCACCACCATTACTACCGCCGCTATCACTACCACTGCCACTAACACCACCATCACTACCACTGCCACTAACACCACCATCACTAATAACCCTTGCCACAACCATCACGACCACCATCACTGCCACTCACACCACCACCATTATTACCGCCGCTATCACTACCACCGCCACTAACACCACCATCACTAATAACCCTTGCCACGACCATCACGACCACCATCACCGCCACTAACACCACCACCATTATTACCACCGCCGGTATCACTACCACTGCCACTAACATCACCGTCACTAACAACCCTTGCCACAACCATCACGACCACCATCACCGCCACTAACACCACCACCATTACTACCGCCGCTATCACTACCACTGCCACTAACACCACCATCACTAATAACACTGCCACAACCATCACGACCACCATCACCGCCACTTACACCACCACCATCACCACCATTACCACCGCCGCTATCACTACCACTGCCACTAACACCACCACCACTAACAACCCTTGCCACAACCATCACCACTATCACCATCACCACCACCGTCACGAACACCACAATGAATAACGCTGGCACGACCATTGCCACCATCACCATCACCACCATTACCACCGTCGCTATCACTACCACTGCCACTAACACCACCATCACTAATAACCCTTGCCACAACCATCACCACCACCGCCACTTACACCACCACCATCACCACCATTACCACCGCCGCTATCACTACCACTGCCACTAACACCACCACCACTAATAACACTGCCACAACCATCACCACTATCACCATCACCACAACCGCCGCGAACACCACAACGAATAACGCTGGCACGACCATCACCACCATCCCCATCACAGCCACTAACACCACCACAAATAACATTGCCACGATCATCACCACCATCACCACCATCCCCATCACAATCACTGCCACTAACACCACCACAAATAACATTGCCACGATCATCACCACGACCATCATCACCACCATCACCACGACCAACACTAATAACACTGCCAGACCATCATCTAATCACCCCTATCACCACCATCACCATCCCCACTAACCTCCGACGAATTCTACGGGAGCTGGCCCGGCAAAATTTGCCGAGTGGCGGCTTCCGAAGATTTCTACATCAAACTGGCAGGTCGGTCACCTTCTGAGGATTTCTTTGGAGGCTGGCCCCGCAACATTTGGTGAGTGGCAGCTTCTGAGGATTACTACGTGGAGTTGGCACAGCGAGAACCTCTGAGGATTTCTTTTGGAGCCGGCCCGGTAAGATTTGCTGAGGTGGGAGCTCCCGAGGATTTCCGAGGGCGGACGTGGTCACATTCGCAGCTTTCATGGGAGAGATTTCCCAAATTCGACCATCTGACATCGCGCTTTGCCAGATTTAATCACCGCATCAATCACGGCACTCGCACCTCCACCAAACGCCCCGCCGCCACCAGGAACACCGCCACCACTACAACCGCCATCACCGCATTGACAACGGCACCCACACCACCTCCACCACACCCCACCACCACCAGCAGCAGCAGCGACACCACCGTAACCGCCACCACAACATTACAGCACTCACACCTGAATCCCACATCACACCATCACCAGGAACACCACCACCACCATTACTTCCAAAGACAAAGATCCTCCCCCTATAAGCTTTAACCAGCTGTTGGAGCAAGTGCTGTTTGCGAGCACCTATAAAGGCCAGCACAGTGGACTCGCTTGAAGACCCGTAGACTCGCACAGAAACACTCACAGAGAGTCTTGTAGACTCAGACCCGTAGACTCACACAGAGACCCATTGACTCGCACAGAAACACTCACAGAGAGAGACTTGTAGACTCAAAGAGCCATAGACTCGCACAGAGACCCATTGACTCGCACAGAGACCCAATGACTCGCACAGAAACACACACTCACAGAGAGACTTGTAGACTCAAAGACCCGTAGACTCGCACAGAGACCCAATGACTCGCACAGAAACACACACTCACAGAGAGACTTGTAGACTCAAAGACCCGTAGACTCGCACAGAGACCCAATGACTCGCACAGAAACACACACTCACAGAGAGACTTGTAGACTCAAAGAGCCGTAGACTCGCACAGAGACCCATTGACTCGCACAGAAACACAATCACAGAGACTTGTAGACTCAAAGAGCCGTAGACTCACACAGAGACCCGAAGACCCACACAACCCACCGATAGACTCTCACAGAGAGACCCAGAGCCACAGAGACCCACAAACCGACAGAGACCCGTAGACCTGAGTTCATAATACGTAACAACGATGGCGACTACAACTATGACGGTGAGAATGATGACGATGATCACTGATGCCGACGACGACGATGACAACTACAACGACATCACTGAACAACGGTGAAGACCAGGACGATGGCTAAAGACGACAATAACGTTAACAATCACGACGCCAGAGTTGTGTTTTTTGTTTGTATTATGACTGCAGGTATTGTGGTCTATGCAAACATGACTCCTTGTAAAAAGGTGTCAGTTTTGTTGCCAGATAGAAGAGTAAAAAAACAATTATCATATTTTTACTGGCAAATGAGGTTCCAATGGTGTAAATGCTTACCCCGAGTTCTCATACTCTGATGGTGCATTGTCTTTGAGTTGTGCGCCTTTTGGCGTCATCTGGTCCAACACCATGTGAGACTAGGCTCTAAGGAAAGTTGTCTCGGGTGTGGACCAATCAACTTCAAGGACAGTGCATACATTATCAGAGTTGTGTTTTTTGTTTGCATTACGACTGCAGGTATTGTGGTCTATGCAAACATGACTCCTTGTAAAAAGGTGTCAGTTTTGTTGCCAGATAGAAGGGTAAAAAACCAATTATCATATTTTTTACTGGCCATTGAGATTCCAAAGGTGAATTACAACGCCGTCCGACCGCCACGTGAACTCAAGACCTTCCGACCCACGGCCCCCCCCCCGCCTCCCCAGCATACGCCACTCACACCCACGATCATCGCGAGCGGGACGGACGTGCGGAATATAACAATTACGGAGTGAATGAAAGAACGAAGCGGGGGGGGTGCGGTAAACCCCCAGGAATGACTGCGCGAGAATTATGATCGCGCGTGTCCCTTGCGGCAAAAGGCGGAGAAGCGCCGTGAGCGGCATTAGACGACATCTCACCTTCCCGCCGTTGACGATGTTGTTATTATTTTATTATCGCCATCAACGCAGGTGCGGAGTGGGAAAGGAGTCGCGGGGAGAGTGGAGGGGATGGAGGTCGCAAAAACGGGAGTTTTTGTGTCGTTATCCAAGCGGAAGGGTTTGTGTCGGAGGCACCGTGACGACAGAGAACCCTGGCTTCGAGACCTGAGCGTCTCTCTCTCTCAGAGGGTTCATAATGGCCTTGTTTAATGCTGGGTCAGCACTGCTGAGAATCCTGGGTTCGAGACCTGGGTCTGGGTGTCTCTCTCTCTCTCTCTCAGAGGGTTCATAATGGCTGTGTTAAACGCTGGGCCACAACTGCTGAGAATCCTGGGTTCGAGACCTGGGTCTGGGTGTCTCTCTCTCTCTCTCTCTCAGAGGGTTCATAATGGCCGTGTTAAACGCTGGGTCAGCACTGCTGAGAACCATGAGTTCGAGACCTGGGTCTGGGTTTATCTCTCTCTCTCTCGCAGAGGGTTCATAATGGCCGTGTCCGAGTCACCGAGAGGACAGCACTGAGATTACGACCCTCAGTCGAAGGTCTACATGTCTCTCTCAAGGGAGGACGTGGCTCATAACGGCCGTGTCAAAGACACTGAACCGGCAAGGATACGAGTTCGAGCCCCGACTGAGCGAAAATTTAACTTGGGCCACCGGGTTCGAAGACAAAGATCCCCTACATTGCTTAACAGACTGTTGGGGCAAGTGCTG